TTAAGTAGTGTTGAGTACATAATACTGTTGGCTATCTACACATATGTCGATGGTACAAGGATCAGATGTTCTATTGTTTAGGCAGTGCAACTACAGATATATAGCAGAAGACTTGTGAGAAGAAGGGAGTGTTCTATGTCTGTATGGAAAGTGTCATCATCAGGCTGGTACAGAGTGTCTGTCAGTTGCCACATCGAGCCACAGTGTTATAGGCACCACCACCCCACTAGAACTGCTGTTGAAGAAATAACAGTTGACATGTTTATAGCAACCCTCTCGAGGTGACAGAATGTGCCTACAGTATGCAAAGGGAGAGCATTCTATGGCACCAATTGTTGGCTCTAGTATGCTAAAGGTTAAAAGATAGATATGGCTGCATATGTCAAAATTGAATTTCTTTCCCTGAGTTTTCATTTATCAGGCAAATTTTTTTAGTCATGACCTCTAACATAACCAAAGTGCAAGTCAGAGTCATATCTTTCTGTGGGAATAGATTATGGCCATGACTATCCATTTTGTGGCATACTTGCTAAATTTGAGGGTTTATTGTTATTCTATGTTTTGTGTATCTGTTCTGAGCTTTGTAAAAATTTAACTTTCTCCTCTTTGTTCCAATCTTAGTTCCAAATAACAAGAAAAACTTTATTTATAATATTAAACTATAATAAATAAATAGACTTTTAGTTAAACTAAAAGCAGTGGCAACAATATTTTGCACAAGTAAATGACGAGTGTAAAGAAATGGAATGAATTTCAACAATGTTGATTTTTTATATTTTGGTTTTTATATAACTGAGTAAAAAGAAAATACATGAGTATCCTTGCTGTGGTGGAATTTACAAATAGGATTTTGCTTATTTGCATAAGTTGGTTATTGGATAAATAAAGTGTAGAGTAAAAGGTCAAATGACAGGAAGTTGGCTACTGATCACATGTTGCAAAACAACACTATAACATTGCTGATAGGATGTTTAATTTGCCTGGATGAACAAGAATTTGTTGAGACTTGGATCCGGTGCCTTTCAGCCTAGGCTAGGGCTAAAAAAATTGAAAGATAGCAAGTCAAGAGCGGGAGAAAATAAAATAACTGCCCACTTCCTAGCTTCAGCAAGTTATGAAGCTACAATAAAAATTTCTGTTATGGCATATTGCAAAGAATTGGAAGATTTGATTTTCATCAAAATTTCAGAAATTATAAAAAGAAATTTATGACCTAAAAGGAAACTTGACATAGTGGAAAGAACCATGTTGTGATAGAAGAAGATCTTGACAAAGAAGAAATGATGAGTTCTTCAGACCAAGAAAATGTAATAAAAAATGAGTATGTGGATAATAGTGCCTCGGACATAGAAGATGAAATGACACCAAGATCTCAATTAAAAAGAACAGGACATAAACATCAAATGAGAGAAGGGCAAAGAGGTTGTAGAAGAAGTTCGAGAACAACCAAAGGAATTAAACCTCTTCAGTTCAGGGAGGTGTAGTGGATTGGTAAATAGTACTGTACCTATTTGCATATGTTAAATAGAAGAGAAATAAAATGTATAGTAAACTAAGAAACAAGCAAGTTAACTACTGATCATGTGTTGTAGAACAATGCAATGCAACAAAAGGATAAAAATCATTAAAAAAAGAAAATGCTTATCTATTACTTTTAATTGTCAAACTAGTTTTCTTCTGCCTCCTCTTCTTTATTTGGATTGGAGAGAAATCTTCAGATTGAAGGCATTTCTTTTTTTTTTCTTCTTTTTTTTTGGTAAATGTAATAGTTTTTGTAAAATTCTTTCTGGGCTCCCTGTTTTGACAGGGACCTATTTAAGTGAACTCTATGGTGTGTGTGTGTGTGTAGGATTACAACACTAACCCTAACTCTGCCATAAGTAAGTTATAAATTGCCACCATCTTGAATCCTTCTGGCTTGCTAAGTGTTTCTGATAAATGGTAGCTTTTGCATGATTTGCATACCTGTGTTTAGTTTTAGAAATAGGCCTGGATACTGGTAGTTGGATGGCAAAATAGAAAATCAAATTACATCAACATATCATAATTGATAATTTTGTTTACCTACATCCATTATTTGCTTTTTAGGATACACAAAGTTTGATAAAGAGAAATGTAGTGTTAAATTTCATTTAGTAATGTTCTTTTCTTTTATGTGTAAAGAAGAAAATATATTTTCATATGAATTTGACTTGTAAGATTAAAGTCTGTTAAATAAAATACTTTCAGGGTAAGTTCAGATTTTGAGTTAATTCGATAGCAAAGAAAAGTTGTTGTCGGCACCCCCACATCTGGCAACTGAGGATTGTCATCCTCTCTCCCTATTCTCTTTCTCTCTCTCTGGTGGCAGTAGCAGAGATAGCCAGGAATCAAAGAGAGTCTGATAAGGTCATTCACATGAATTAGATTTTGTTAACTCTGCACAATGGAGATGCCTACACACTTGAACAGAAGCTCCTCCTTCATGGCTTGAATGGGATTGATACAGACAAGATCTGGCAAACCTGGTTGCATCAGGCTGTTAGATGCTTGGTCTGTCAAGGTCCACCTTGGTTATGCCAGCCTAACTGGTGATACCCTTTTCCTTTCATAAGTTTGCCTGTTGAGATCATGTAGATCTTTGTCTATTCTACCGCTGGAGGTCTTTGGGGGTTGGTTGCATTTAGATAGGTTTCTCATCCTTAACTTTACTGTCACAGAGTTGGAACTTCAGATGGCTTCACTCTTCGGATTACTGGGACAAGTAAGCCCTCTACTATGACAAGGAACGACCATATATGTTTTATACTGGATGTCAGAGTAAACAGTTTATTATCAAATGTACTACTTTGACTTATTATTACTTTAATGACAATAATAAAAACAAATCAATAAATAAAAAAAGAAAAAGTAAAAACTAATAAAATTATCATTAAATATATGAAAACATTTTTGTTATTGTTGTTTCTAAAAATAAATATTTGAGATGTAAGTAATAAAGGAAAAAATTCATTACTGAACAAAAAAGAATTTTTTAAAAAACAACTCAAAACACTTTTCCTGCAAATTTGAAAAAATATCCTTGTCCATAAAAATGTTACATCACTGCAATCAATAAATAAGAAAAGGATAACAGAATAAAATTATTAGCAAATGCTAAAAATGTTTGAATGATAAATGATAGAGAAAGAAATCGATGATAATGAACCAATAGTGAATGATAAAACAAACATTACAACTCAAAATACATTTTTTATGCTTTCAAAAATTATGTTCTTTTTTATAAAAAAAGAGAAATATTATGCTTAAATATGCAGGATGCAATCATTAAATTATCATCAATGAGATGTCAGTGTTATTTTATTTTTGTAAAATTTATGCACAAAAATAAAATAACACTGACATCTCATTTTAACAGATATATTTACTGAATTTACACAAAAATATCTTGAAATACTAAGGAGTAAATTTATTTAATAAAATCATCATTGGCTTCAACCATGGACTCCAGACAACTTCAGAATCTCTTGCAACTCTTCTGGACAGTCTCCTTGTTTAAGTTGTTGAATTGCTGCCATAATCCTTGCCTTCAGTTCATCTTTGGTGCTACAAGGAATTTTGTTAGTTTCTCAATCAACTGTACCCCACACATAATAACCAATCCCCTTGCAGTCTGGGGAGTTAGGTGGCCAGATGTAAGGGATGGTGTGGTCACAGAAATTGACTGACAGTCATGACTGGGTTCTCCTGCTTGTGCGGCATGGTGAAAAGTCCTGTTTCTAGACACAGGGTATTCGAACAGCTACCCTCTTGACCCAAGGTATCACTAACTCCTCAAAGCACTTGATGTAAGCCTTCATGTTCATGTAGGCTGGGTCTTCACAGCCATCTCCGTCACCACTACCAAAAAGGAGAAAGGGAATAGGGAAAAAAGATGATGATCTTGATGCTTGGATGTGAGCAGGTGCCAACAAGAGGTATAGAAAATCAAATAGGAGAAAATTCTGAATCACATTCCTCTTGAGTGATTAATATTTCAGGCAGTATTGAGATTTATCAGTCCCACCACACCTTTTTAGTGCTTCCTTTAGTTTAATAAATTTTAATGAAGCTCTCGCATTGCATGCAATTATTCTATGATATCAAACAGGTAAGAAAATAATAAAAAACTAAAAGCAATGAATTAAACGCAGACGTTAAGTATCATCTACCAGCTTTTAATTACTTACTTTTTTTTATACATATAGTATAAAAAAATAAAATTATTCTTTCTACTTTTTTTAGCTCTAAATCGTAAAGTAAAAGAATTCATTAACAATTTGATAGTGTAAATATTTTCTGTCAGAATTCAGTCATCATCATGAGAGCTGTTTCGCTGTGTAAATCAATGGGATGTTTCATCTACAGCAACTTTGTAAATATCTTTTAGCAGTCTTTTTGAAACCACTATCTATTGTGTTACCTCACAAAAGTGCTGTAGGTTTTCCAAGCTCTTCAGTAAAGTTTCTTTACAGGGAATGATAGAATTTCATTGATTGATCTTGTAATGTTCTTGTTCAATGTATACTGTATGGTTGTTTGTCCAATGTCTATGGATGTCATTCTCCCATTTGGCATTGATGACAACAATATTTCCATAATATTTTTGCTGTATTAACTTAACTCCAATATTTAATTCCCTCTTTGAATCTTTGATTTGTGGTTTCTTGGCGGCAACGTCAATATCAAAATCCCGAACCAATAATTCCTGCTTTTCTTTTTTCGCAAAATCTCTAACATGTCCCGATGGTAATATATTTGTATTCCGTTAGAGACATCTACAAAGTTTTAAATAAGAAATTGCCAATTTTTAACGGTTGACAACCAGAGAAGTCATTACCTTCTCCAGCAAAAGTCAAATAACTTTAAAAAAAAAAAAATAAAAATAATAATAATGTTTGGTTTCCATGGAAACAAATGGCGGAACCGGAAATCAAAGATTTTGTGACTTTTTTCTGCGAAGATTAAACTCATGTATCAACATGGCCGACTGGCTGGATGTTCAGCGCCTTCGGGCTGAATTTGAAGCAGTTCAGCAAAAATCTTCTCTACAAAAGTGAGTGTCACCTGAAATCTATGTCATGACTGTTTTCTGCAAGTATCAAGAATTGTATTACGCTTCTGATATTTGATAAAGCTTGTCATATTTGGTCGACATTGTGTTTCACGATAGCATTTTGTTTTCAAAAAGAAAAAAAAAACATATGCCGCTTGTTTGTTGTTTTCGTTTGGGGTTTTAAAAATGTTAATCTTTTGAATAACACTAAAAACCAAATAAAAATTTGATAAAATAGTCTTATGTGTAATTTTGAAATAACTATGTTGTTTGTAGCATATAAGGTGTTATTTTTTATTAAGAAATAAAAAACTCAGTTTTGTTGACGTGGAAAATACTTTTCGTTTGTTGTCAAGACTTTTAAAAAAATCCCAATTTGTTTTTGTTAAATTTCGTTCTTCTTAATTTTATTTCTCTTACTTATTAAATTTTTAGACAACAGTTATAAATTTACATTCTTATAAGCTACTTATTTTTCGTTGTATATTACTCATGACAATTCGGTAAAAAAAATGGTAGCTAATTTCAAAGACGAAATTAAAAAAAACAAACATCTGGAATTTTAAGTTTTTATTTTGAAGTTTCATTTTCATTTTTCTTGTTTGGTGTAACTTTGTGATCTGACATTACTTTAAAAAAATGAATGTTTAGCTATAAATTGAATAGATTTTGTTAAATCGCCGTTAAAAAAAAGTTTTCTACTCCGTGAATGAAATAGACGGGTTTTTACTTTTTAGGATTTAAAAATTCATAACTAGAATTAAAAAACGGTACAAGAAAAGTACAAAAACAAACGTATTTTTTTATTTAAAAACAAAGGAACCAAACTTTCTTTATTTTGACTTTTTTTTTTTTTATTACAAACCGGGTAAAATTTTAAAATAATATTCCTTTGCTGTTTTTGTGTTGACATTTCGCAAATATCTCCATAAAGTTGTTAAACGTAAGGTAATTTTAATAACCTAATTATCTGAAAACTTCCATTCACTTTTAAAATTCTTTCGCCAAGACATTTTCATGGGATTTCTCGGTTAGTTATTTTCTTTCAAAGCTTGTTAAAGATTGTTTTAAAAATTAAACAGTTTGCGAAGAGTAACCTGATCAAAAGTGTGAAGATTTTTTAAGGGGGGGGGGTATTACATTTTTACCGCTCCATGCGATTTTATGTAGAAATTGTTTGAAGCGATAAACTTAATATTCTCTAAATCCCTCACAAAAATTGGATACTTTTTTTTTTTAAATAAAAAACTTAACTAAATTGAAAAATAACATTAAAAATTATTTGTTGATTGATGTGACAATATTGTAAATAAATATAACGTCTTTTATTCATAAAAGTTTCTGTTTAGTTTTACCGTTCATTTTTTTATAAGTTGAATTAAATGTTTTTTTAAATAATAAAAAAGTTAATTTAAATTTATTGAAAATGAACATAAAAATTAAGTAAAAGAAACTGGTTAATTTTGTTTATAATAAATTTTTTTTTACATCATTTAGTTTTTTAAGAAGAAACTTTTTTTATGTTGTTTCTTGCTTTCATGTTGTACGTTTTTCTTTTAGTTATCGACATTTTTATACTGAAATAGTGGATGGCAGTACTTAAATTCTAAAATAACTAAAAAAAAAAAAAAGTAAAAAAAATATATGTAAAAGTAAAACGTTTTTTACCAGCTAAAAAAACTTTCTTTGGTAAATAAACACTAAATAGTACTTTCACCTAACATTTAAGAATTGTTTTTCTTAATTTTCCTATGTTCTTAAGCAAAATTAAAAAGTAATAATACATGATTTTTATTTTTTTTAATCTCAGCTGAATTTGTTTGACTCCACTGGTATTAAACAGATTTTTTTAGTTTTACTGCTAATTAATAGCTAAAATTAGAGATTGCACTTAAAATAGATTTTTACACAACTCAAACTGGTTAAAAAGAAAATCATCATTGTTAATAATGTTAATGTTAAGGAAAAATGCAAAATTTCATGTGATTTTCGCATTAAACGATTTTGACTTGAGAATCCGGACATGAAGGAACTTGTTGATGGACGTTATGTACAGAATATAGTATTTGAAAAATAATTAAATGAAATCAGTTTTCTTTGCCTCTATCTTTATTTATTTTCATATATATATTTTTTTTTTTTGTGTGTGTATGATATATCCAGTATATTTTTTTAAGCTGTGTTATACAAGAAAAATTATAGGAGAGGTAATGTTTTTATTTAAAAATCTTCTTAAACAAAAATTTTGTTTAAGAAGATTTTTAAATAAAAACATTACCTCTCCTATAATTTTTCTTGTATAACAAAATAAAAGAAGCCCATTCGTTTTATTGCGCACCAGAATGCTGCTTAATCTTAATGTTTATTCTGGGATTATAGAAATTTCAAATAACTGAATATTGTTCATGACAAATAGAAGATTCTGTTCTCAAAGTCAAAGAAAATACCACTTCCAATTCATTTTGAGACGAAAACAAGGGATTCTTCTAAGAAGCACCTAACAAACACTTTACACTGCGTGCCAAATTATTATCGAGATAACTTTTTTCTAATATTTCAAAAACCGTCCAATCAATTCGCACAAAATGTTCACACAATGTTGGCAAAACTGACCTGCGCAATCACTGAAATGTTTGTACTGATCTGCGCAATGTAAACAAACTGGCGCCATATTTGTTATCAGCATGGTGATTTGAGCGTGCCAAATTATTAGAAAAGTGTAAGAATTTAGTGAAAAGATGGGCCGTAAAAGCAGTTTAAGTGATGTTGAAAAGAAAACTATCACCTCAGAACTCTCAAAAGGTAAATCTACCCTATAAATTTCTAAAATGATAGGGAGGTGTCATAAAACAGTGAAAAAGTTCACCGTCGACCCTACACAAATACGCAAAAGGGCAGATAAAGGCAAGCCGAGAGTTATTTCACGTTGTCTCATGTCACGACTTAAATGAGAGGCCACAAATAACCCTGGACTTACCAGTCAAGAGCTTTTCAGTCACATTGTGGATCCTACTGTGTCTAAAAGTACTCGGTGTCGGTATCTGAGGAAAATAGCAACAACGGTCAAACCTGTATCAAAGTCTCCGTTGACGAGAAATCACATTCAAAATTGATTGAAATGGGCCGAGGACAATATGAAGATTGACTTCTCTAAAGTTTTGTTCACAGGCGAAACTCGAGCAACACTTGCTGCTCACAATACTACTGAATATTTGAAACAGTTAGGCTTTGATGGACCTCAGAAAATGAAGTGGCGAGCAAATTCTCCGGATTTGAACCCAATCAAAAACCTTTGGAGCATCACGAAGCGAAGTCTGTATGCCAATGGATGACAATTCAGGAGCAACGCTGAGTTTTGGGAAGCAATTCTTGACATATCTCGCGGCATTACAGCAGATGACATCCTACAATTAACAAATTCTATGGATCGTCAACTTCAAGTAATTTCAAAATAGGGAAAGCACATTCCCTATTAATTTGTTTAAAACTGTGCCTTTGTTTGTATCTGTTATTATTTGTTTGATTATCTTATTTATTAGCTTCTTTTTTATTATAAACATTCATGTGCAATATTAATAAACGTTTCGTTTGCTCAATTCTGGGAGAATTTTACTAAACCTTTCTAATAATTTGGCACACTCAAATCACCGTGCTGATAACAAATATGGCGCCAGTTTGTTTACATTGTGCAGATCAGTATGAAAATTTCCGTGATTGTGCAGGTCAGTGTTGCCAACATTGTGTGAAAATTTCGTGTGAATTGATTGGACGGTTTTTGAAATATTAGAAAAAAAGTTATCTCGATAATAATTTGGCACGCAGTGTAATGTAAAATTATAAAGTTAATTAAAATTATTACTTTTTTTTACACAGTGAGTCAGCTTCTTGAAACAACCTATAAATGAAGAAATATTGTCTCATTAGGTTTGAAAAATTCAATTTTTTTTTTTTCCTAAATCTAAAATTGAAAACCCTTCTATAACCCAACAAATAGTCTTGTTATTTTAAAGAATAGACAAAATTTACACTATTTACATTGTTCAGACTGTTGTCCTCATCTTTATTGCCATATTCACGTTTCAGCTGTTGTATGTTTCGACCTTCTTCAGGTGATATATTTGGGGATTTCAAATCGAACCCTTTTAGTCCATGGGGGTAGATTGTTGTAATTTTATGTGCTATACCTTTTTTTTGGATATCTCAGTTTTAGTTAATTCCTCTTACTAACTCGACAAAAACTTGGAGAGTTGAGTTACTAAAGGAAAATAAATGAAACTGAGATATCCAAAAAAGGTATGGTATGTGAAATTAGAACTATCTACCCCTGTGGATTAAATAAAGGGTTTGGTTTGAAATTTCAAATATCTTACCTGAAGAAGGTCGGATTGTACAATGGCTGAAACATCGGGAATCTATATAATATTAAAAGTCTGTGATTGCTTGCGTGCTTGTGTAGTGCATCAGACTAATGCATAATGATTTACAAGAATCCACTTTGCTGTTTTGTCCAGTTGTTTGTAAAGTAATTATTTATATTTCAGTTTTCTTTAAACAAATAATATTTAAGAATATTTTTTAGCATATTAAGAAAAATGTTAATCTGATTTAAAGTTCAAGTTTATCCTGGAAGTTCTATTCCTATTAAATGTTGTAAGCAATCAGTAAAATGTTAAACATGAACTTGTAAACCAGACCAATGATGACATGAATGAATTGAAATATTTAGCTGAATTATAATAAAATTAACTTTCATTTCAGTGGAATGTTGAAATCAACCTCAATGTTTTATAACCTGAACCGTCAGTGACCCCCACAGGTCGTCTAGTGTGGCAATAAAGATGAGGACAACAGTCCAAATAATGCAAATAGTTACAATACCTCATCTCAAAAATAATATGGACAGTAGACAAAATGTTTGAATTTAGTTAAGTCCTTCATCATCAGTATTCAAACATGCAACTTAGTTTTGTTGAAATATTTGTGCAGATATAGGAATCAACACTGCATAGTGATTGTCAATTTCACACACCAAATGATCTTCAAACCATATAACACCTGAAACTGACAGTCACCATGCAGTGTTGATTCTTATGGCTGCATTGTCTTTATCTACACATATCTGATATTGACCTCTTTCCAAGATAAATATATAAAATTTTAAACAATAGATATTTTGTAATTGTATATTCCACTTGTAAAATGCATTTGGTTTTATTCATAGGCTTTCTGAAAGGAATGTAATTGAGATTGTGTCGAAACTGGTTGAGTTGAAATTGACCAATGTTATCTACACTCTTGATGGCAAAGAATATCTCACTTGGCAACAACTGGAAAAGGAAATACTTGAAGAACTCTACATCAATGGAGGTAATACATAATATTAATTCCGTTCTATAGAACATTACTTCTGCTGTTTATCATTTTAGTTTCTAAAATTGTTCACTTGTTTCAACCGACATGGGAGAAAAGAGAAATTGTAACCAACTGTGATTTTTTTTCCGTTTAAATATGATCACGGAACGCTGATCTTATAAAAGATTTTGGTTATCTGTTTGGATTGGTCTTGCTTTTATGTCCATCATCTTTTTCATGTTGAATTGAATATGGTCTATGTTAATTATGTTTTATGAATATGTCCTGAAGATGGTCTATTAGACCGAAACATCCGACGTTGACATTATATTAACATTAAAACAGCATAATTGCATATTAGGATTTTGTTTGTTTTTTCCGTATATTTTTCTTCATACTGTCAGATCTATGTCCATATATTTGCTTACATTATGAAATCTATATGAATAAATATGAAATTGGAGTGTAATTATCCAATGAATTCTGGAGTTAAAAAGCCCCAACTCTATAGTAATTTATACCCTAAAAGCTCAATATCTGTATTATCTACTTCTAGGCAATATCAATCTTCAGGTTTAAATGATTTGCATATTGATTTTCAAAAAGTTTATTTCATTAACTGTCCGTCATTACTGTTCTTTTATTTGAGGATTGTTTTGATTTTCATATCAAAAGTAGTTCTGAAGAATATTGTCTTATATAGTGCAGAAAAGTGTTTGAAATTTGCATTTTACTTGGACTTCAACAAGTTGGCACCTATTTGTAAAACTTTCGTTAACCATAACTAAGAAATTTATGAATGAAATGTTCATTTAAAATTTTTGTTTCAAAGATTTCAAGTAGTAAATATATCTTTGCGAAGAGATAGTGAGTGAGCGAAGCCTGCTAGTTTATTATATCAAGATAGTTAAAAAAAAAAGGTGAGATAATTGAAAGTTAGAGAGTTGTGTCCCTTTAATTAAAAAAATGTGACATATTTTCGCATTTATGAGATAAGATATATACCCACACACTTGATTCTAAAATTTAATGAATTCATATACAGTGAACTTTTCTTGCGGTCATTTGATGGTGCTGAACTTACCTGTAAATAAATTGTTTTTTTTTCTTTTCAAAATGTTTCATTTAATAAAAAAAGAAAACTGATCCAAATCCTTTTGACTTTCAATTATTAGTTTTATTTTATGTCTTTTGTTAGACTTGTTTTGTTTCATCTTAATCTGGTCTTGCTGACTAATTCTACATGATAATTTTGTTAACATTTTTTTTTTATATTACTGCATAGTAAATGGCCTTTTAATTGTTTTTGTTTTCTTAACATTTCTTTTCACTTGAGGAGCATGATTTCTTTTTTGATTTTATTACAGGGCGGGTGAATCTTGCAGATTTGAAACAAGCTTTGAATGTTGATTATTCTCACATTGAAGCAAAAGTTAATGATATCACACGCCATAACCATGACGTAACTTTGCTGCTTGGCCAATTGTTTAATAAGTAAGTCCAAATGACCACTGGTCAAATTCTTCATTTTATGGTGTGTATATTTAGCCATCCTTATAGGCGAGATAGTTGTTGATATGTCAAATTTTAAGGCTTATATTTTCATTTAAGATGTAATATGTTACAGAAAGTAATTTGAATGTGTGTCCATTTTAAAATTGGTCATCCTTTATTATGCATAGATTAACTGTATTATTATTATTGTGTCTATTATGAAATTGGAAATTCAAAACCTTCTCTCCATTTTCATCTAATATTAACTTCTGATGTTGGCAACAACTTTGATGTGACCATAAAAAGTGGTCTCGAGTTTTTATGGTCACATCAAAGTTGTTGCCAACATCAGAAGTTAATATTAGATGAAAATGGAGAGAAGGCTTTGAATTTCCAATTTCATAATAAACACAATATTTCACCTTGGGAGATAATAGACAAACTTAATTTTGTCAAAAAAAAAAAATTGTGAAATTTCTTAGACAAAGCCTTCACATCTACACATGCAATTAATTTTATGAAATCTTTGTCTACAGAGAAATTAAATCATTTGAAAAATATTTACATGTTTATAAAGAAATTAAATTATTTGAAATTTTGCTCCAAACTTCAACTGAAGATGTAGAAAATCTGGCCTGAATTGGAAAATATAAAATGTTGTTTGGTTTGTAAAGTTATTAGTTGTGTTTTTTTTTATGAACATATATTGTCGTCTTTTGGATTGTACAAAAAATATTTGCTGAAAAATTGTTTAAAGATTCGGCTACAAAAATAATTTTTTTGTTCTAATACATTAAAATTCTTTATTTAAAAACTATCTTAAAAATCTGTAAAATAAAAAATTGGAAACTCAGAATTAGTTAACATTTTTTTGCCATAGGTTTTCAAGTTTGAACAGTTTTGATTACTGCAGAACTTTTTGAGAATGCTTTAACCACATTAATCATTGTTTTCTTGTAATTAGGAATTTATTATCATCATTATTATAATAATAAGTAGATTGAGTTATTTGCACAAAGATCATTTGTTTAATATTTTGACTGGGGATTGCATATTTCTGATAGAAAAATAGGACATCAGATTGGTATTGTTATTCATTCATTGTATTAAAATATCCATGTAAAACTAACCAAAAAATACCTTCTGAAATAACTGAAAGTGAGTTAAGCAAGTTGTTATTGAGATTTTCTGTTTCCAATTAACTAAAACTATCAACTAATTAATATGGTTAATTTAAATTTTATAACCCTTGGTTATAAGCTAAAAGGAAAAAAAAACCCTTCTTTATTAGATTTTCTCTTCATGAGTAATTAAAACTTTGTATCTCTTGACTGTAATATTTTAATTTGAAATAATAACCATACACTTTTTAATTTGCAAGCACAAGCTTTCATTGTGGATTTGTATTCTTTTATTTTTCTTTCGTATATGTTCTAAATCGTATTTATCTGGATGTTTATTATCAAACCAGAAACTTAGAAGATACTTGATTTGATTTTGCAGGTCTTACAAAACAAGGATTGCAGAAGAAATCAATGAAAAATTGCAAGAAAATGGCCACCTTTTGATAATAGATTTGATCCAACAGTATGACCTGCCACCAAATTTTCTGTTGTCAGTAAGTATTCATAGAACAGGGAATAAATTAAAAAAAAAAAAAAAAAGGAATAATTTTGTTTTTTCAAAATCTATTATTGTCTACTCATAAAACTGAAATCAAAAGAAGTACTTCTTCGTATTTACGGTTGATTTCCCTTAGACTGGATTGTTAGAATTTTTAAGAAATCTGCTTTTTTATCCCCATTATGCAATAAGACATGTTGCTGGTAGTGATTCAGTTCATGATGAAATATTTTCTTTTACAAATTATTTTTAACTTAATATCGATTTTAAAACTGTTCTCCTTCAAATTTATTTATGGTTCAGTGTTTATAAATCAGATCTGATTGTTTTTTTACAAGAAATTTTGACACAGGAGTCGTCTTTCATTATTACATTTATTGAAGCTTGTGTTTCACTAGAAATGTGATTTGCATATGTTTGCCTTTATAGACAATAGCATTTATTCATACTTTTTTCTTTTAATACATCTCTCAATATTTCAAATATATTTCCTATTTTAGATTATACAACAAAACATTGGTTCAGTCATTAAAGGTAAAATGGATAATATAAACAAAGATGTAATCTATACTGACTTGTTTATTTCTCGAATGCGAGCCAAAATCCGAGGTCTGTTTAGTGCCATGACAAGGTATGTGCAATTTCTGCTTTTGAATAACATTCTCTTTTATGTTGAAAAAATTATTTTCTTAATTATTTATCAACTCCATCGACATAACCTTAAGATTGAAATTTGTATTTTTTATTTTGTTGCTGTGTTTCATAAACATTTAGTAAAGAAGACAGTATCTGTCTGTCTCACAAGACATTGGTGTACCACAGTGTGCTACAGGCCCATGCAAGAGATCTTGGGCTGAGCATGCATCAAGATCCACCCGTCTCAGTGTTGCTGGTAGAATCCAAAGGAAAGAATAAACCAATATCTTTTGGTACTCCAATTTGGATTTGTGTGGGGGTTTTAATTTGGTTTTCTTTCTTTTAGACTGGCTGCCACACAAAGCAAGAAAACCCAGTCTGTCTTACTATTTAATCTATAGCTGAACAAAAAGCATTTTAAGTGTATCAAGAAAGCAATTCTTCCATATTAAACATTCAATAATCACCAAAAAATAAGGAAGAAACTTTCTACAAAATGAAAGACATTAAAATGATTACAAATTTAAGACCTTTTGGTTATATTTTAGATTGCAGATGCTAATACGTGTAAAAATTTTGCCACCATTAATGCTTTTTTCTTTCTGTGACTCCACAAAAGTTCACTAATTCCAAATAAATATCAATTACAAAATGACGTGTGACTTTTAAGTAAACTGTTGGCTGATTAGGAATTGGCCATTTAACATTAAAACCTTCCCTTTCCAGATGTTCCTATATTTCAAATACTTGACTAAATCATTTTTATTTTTTTCTATTTTCAGACCAACTTCAATGTATAATATTTGCAAGCAACATGGCTTTAAAGAAAACATGTTTTGTAGTAAGTTTTGTTTTTTTTGCTTTCTTTGTATTTTTCCCAAATCTGTATTAATTCTTTAGATATTTGCTTAACTGAAATTGTTGCTTGAAAGTGTCAAGACTTTTTTAAAAATTTAATCTGCAATAATAAAAAAAAAACAACACTCCTTTTATCTTGCTAGATTTTGAAAAGGAAATTTTCTTCCTTTTGGCATTTTAAACTTTCATTTTATTGAATTTTCTTCTTAAGAAATGTATTCATCTGCTTATAATAGAAGTCGTCTTTCCTTTATGATTTTTCTTAGAAAATGAATATTGAATAAAAAATATGAAAAAAATTTAAAACTAATATAAGGAAATCTACTGCATTATGTTTATTGTTGCAGCTAAAAAAAAAAAAAGATTTGTCTCACCAAAGTTATTACAATTAGTTTTAAAATTGAATTGACATTTTAGGAATACTTTTACTTGAGTTTTTTGTTTTTTGCCTATTTTTGTTTATATAAATATATTGTGATGTTTTATTCACAGAATGATTCAAACATGAATTTATTCTGAAATAACTTTTGTAAAAAAGAATGCATAATTTTCTTTTATTTTTAAGTAGTTGTTTTCAGTCTAAATAGAAATGAAATCTTCAATCATGAAATCCTAGTTTATAAAGTAATATTGATCACTAACTTATTGAATATTTATATTTAATACTCTCTATCCATTTCATTTTTTTAATGTGAATATGCCTTAGAATTAGAATTAATATTTTTTTTAATTTATAAAGGATTCTAAAGAGATGTTTTTGGATTAGCTTTGAATATTTTGTATTTTTTATTCTGACTATTCAAATTAAACATGCTGTTTTTTTTTTTTCTTCTTATGCCTTCTTCCAACCATTTTGATGATAAAAGTATTAAAGAAAATGTAGCAGTTAAATAATAATCTTTCACTTATGCAATGAAGTCTCTCAGTAGAAATTGAAGACATTGATCATTCTGACAAACTAATTCTTTTTTTTTAAGTATTTAGTATAACTAACCATATGTGAGTTTCTTTTGGTCTTAGAAATATGATTATTTGGTAAGAGTTAGGAATATTGTTTGAATGCTTCTGCTGATTTTCCAAGATAATTTCTTGACAACTACATCTTGGGATGAATGTCTTTATTTTGCAGCTATTGTTGAAGAATTGCTAAAAAGTCATCGGATCAGTGGAACTTTGATTGGTCAAAAAGAGAAAGGCATTTACCATCCAGAAAATTATGTGAAGACACAAAACAAATGGGTGGAAGATTTCTACAATCAAAATGATTATCTTGGTGAGTTGATCATCAAAATTATCTTTTAATTTATAATGTTGTATAATTATATTTCACTTTTTTTATTAAAAGAAATATTTTTAAATAATAAGGATTTAGCTAAAATCATTTTATGGCAACATTTTTAATATATAAATACAAGGTAAAGAGGGGAGCAGACAATTCATTAGGTTTTATTGTTTTACAATTTTTATGCCATACCTTGATGAAATACAGAAGTTATAGCAATAAAAATATTGATGTATTCATAATAAATTCAAACTAAGAATGCAGTTCAAATGATTTTGTATTTCTTTTCACTTTTATTAGATTTTTAAAAATATTTTTATATTTGAACAAGTAGGATTATTTTTTTTTCTTTTCCAGAACACATTTGAAAATCAATTTTATTCATTAAAAATGTTAAGAAAAACAAATTTTATTATGTTAATCTCAAAACCGAAATTTTCTTTTATAATCTCTTTCTGTTCCAAATAACATTTTAGAATCTTTTGATTTTCTAAATATATCTAAAAATAATATTTTCTTTGATAAATATGGAATCATTTTTTAAGAGAAAAAGACAGACAACATGCTATTTTTGTTACAAGTTATAAAATGACATTTGTTTCTCTACATGTAAGGGGTTTTAGAAAACGTCTTGGTCTAGCCAAGAAGAGATCATCTACCCAGTCTCTTTGGTCAGATTTTGGGAAGAAGTTTGTGCCAATAACTTACAGTACCTCATCCCATAATGTATTTGGAATTTGGAGGAATTGCTCTACTGTGAATTGTCATTAGTAGAAAAATAATTGTAATCCTTCAAAGAATTCAACTAATTTGAAATTGTTAGAGACATTTGAAAAGAGATCATTATTACCCCAAATTGTACAACTTAAAAAAAAAAATTCTTGAAAAAAATTGTTGATGACCAAAAAGTGATTCCAAAAAATAATTTGATGTTTGGTCACATTTTATTTAGTGAGTCAGTATGAGAACTCCTCAGCCGTGTCATGTATAATGATTTTTGGCATCCAATGTATTTATTGGCATAAGCTAGCTGTGACCTCATTCAGCTTTCAATCACTTTTGTTTTTATCATTATTGTTTTATTACCTATCTAACAGCAATAGTCTTGTTAGGAAAGGAGATATGTAGTATGATCCTGGACATAAGTTTATCATAGAAGATTTTGAAATTAGTGCACTTTCACTATATTTACACATTAGTAAATTACTTTCTCCTTTAATTAAAACTGAATTCTTTAAGTCAAAATTATGGTTAGATCTATTATGATCAGTGAGTAAATTATTTTGTAAAAGTTCCCTTTTATAGGTTCATATAATCTTTTATTTAAATCCTTTGTTGTTTCACTAAAGTATTTCTTGGGAAATGTTTTTAAAGGTTATTTTGTAACTTCTTGCTTCAAGTTTAAAGATTTTTATTTTTTGTTAATTAAATCTCTTCTTGTTTAAGTAATTATCACAAATTGAGATAAATTCTTTTCAGTTGTCATTATTGAGTGTGGAGGTAATATTATGTGTCTAATTTGATAAAGGGTATTTTGTTATTTTCTTTTTAAATTAGTGAATTCTGTAAGCTGCTTTTTTTTTTTCTTTATATATGAATAATTTGGATACTGGAGGTATTTTAAAAGTATTATCAGTGTATTTTTCTTCATTACTTCATCTTGCTAGATAATATCTTTTTAACCGGATTAAAAATTGTGCTATGAAGGAATTTGATGAAATTCACTTTGGATGCTAGAATAGAAAATAATTTCTAAACGAAGCAGATGAAAAACTATTTTTTTCATGATGGTATTACTTTTAATGGTATTTAATATTTTGTTTAGATATTTTTACATTAAGCAATTCTTTTCTTATTCTTAGAGTATGACACATTGTCTAGACTTGGAATTGGGGACCCGAAAGACTTCATTAAAAGAAAATTTAAGAATGAACCATTAACATTTCTCAGTACATGTTGCATTGGTGCCAGTCTCAAAGAACAAGTTGAAGCTAGTGTGGATGAAGCTTTGAGTAACGGAACTTGGATAGACATCCTGGTAAGTGGATAAGTTTCTTTGGATTAAAATTAGCAAATTGAAATTCACCTTTTTTTTCCCAGTTTATTTTGCTTTCATAATCAAGTTCATCATTTCTTTCTTTTTGTTTTGTGTTGTATTTGTTTTCAAAGAAAAAGTTTTAAAAAAATGTTAAATTTATTTCTTTTTATATTATAAGCTTTCATTTTTGTTCTTCTTTTATGACAGTCTTACCTTCCTTCAGTGATTACGATTGAAGATGCCAGCCAGTTATTGTCATCAATTGTAAGCAAACATAAAGAGGCCTTCCAATGTTGCGATACAATCATTGCTAGCAACAAACTGATATGTGAGTGCAAGAAACCTTTCACAGAAATGATGAAAACCAAAGCAGCCAAGGTAAATAGTTTCTTTATCCATGGCTGTAGCAGAAAAGAATTTTACCAGTTGTAGTATATATATTTTTTTAACAGGATTTTATCTTAACAAAATTCAATAAAGAAAGAAAAATACAAGAAATAAAAAAAGTATCAAAGCAATGAAGAATAAATTTTTTTTTTTCTCCTTCATTAATGAATGTATATTTTCTCTGTAGACATTCCCAAAAAGATGAAAAGTTCTTTCATTTGTAACACAGACAGTTCTCTATTATTTCAAAGATGATTTCTGCCAACCTAGAGGCACTGGAAATTTGAAATGTTCCTGCTGCTAACCATTGGCAGCCTTTGATAACTTTAGGCTAAATTCTAAATTTGTCCCCCCAAAAAAAAACATTTATCTCTGCTACATCCCTGTCATCAGACTGCTTTTTCTGTGATCCTGAACCAAAATTAAAATTCTCAGCTTCCTGTCAAATTAGCATTTTGAGGAGAGACAACTAGACTTTGTTTTCATCATCTGCAAACTATTTAAAATGTCAGTCTACTTGTGTAAACTTATTTCTTTTCTTTTTTTTTATTCATTAATTATAATGTCTGTATTAGAAATCTGTATTTTCTCCCCAAGCTTCAGTCATTCAATCGGAATAAAAGTGAATTAAACTCTCCAAACATTAAGAGTTAATGATAATTACTTGAAAGCAACTTTTTTTCACACATTCATTGAATGCCTCTGAAAGTAGCTCATTAAGAACAGCTTGTGAGAAGAGCATTCCCATCACTTCTCTACAACAGGTCTGCCTATTTTACCCAAATATATAAACACTTATTATTAATACATTTCTTGTGAACTTTCACTTTCTCATGGTTTTTATTAAATATTGAATTAGTTTCTAAAAGGGAAGAGATTAGAATATCTTAAAATAAAAAGGAGATTACTGATGGAAAAAGAAAAAAACAAAACTACATGTATTTTTTCTTCCTCTCATTTGTCTTTTCAGGCAATTGGTCACCATTAATATATATATATATATATTGGACACCATTAATAAAATATTTTATCAATAATCATACAAAAAACAAAAATGGATAGGATATGATGTTCTTTAAATTGAATCATTTGCAACAGATTTTTTTAATTTTTTTTCCCACAAAATTAATTTATTTGGAAATGCCAGCTTATTAGAGTATCTTGTGTATTGGTATATATGTGTGTTTTTTATATATATATATATATATATATATATATATAACTTTAAAAATCAAGAGGTCAGTCAAATCTGCTACCTTGGTTTCAAATTTATGGTATCCTCAGGTGAGTTGAAATCAAGGTAGTGGATTCAGTGGGTCTGATTTTTAAAGTTAAAAGCTTTACATGTTATTTTTACTTTCGTTTTTTTCACGTATATTGAGCACTTTTTAATACTGCTGTTTCTTGATCTGAATCAGCTCTGACCATTAACCTTTTTATATATATATATATATATATATATATATATATATATATATATATATATAATATAATAATTCACAAGTAAAGCATATATTTTCATATTGCACTCAGTATTAAAATAATATTAATATTAAAAATATAGCATTGATAATATCATATACAGAAAAGTTATTTAACTGTAAATATCAATTTTTGATGTTTCCCTGACTTTGAAGTTTCTTGGAATTATCCATTCTTCAAGAGGTCTGTTGTTTGAATAATTTTTTTTTCATGACATTTTTTAATCTGTTGTGGACACACACATGTTTAAGAATTTTTGCTTTTGTTTACATGTTCGTTTGTAAGTGTAATAATTTTATCAATTCTAAATTTTTCTTCCGAATTAGAATTTTTTTTTTCAATTATAATTTTTGGTAATTTCTTCCTTTAAAGATACTAAGCAGCTTGTCTGTAAATATGAGAGGATCCTATTAAGAATAAGTAGACAAAACTTATTTAAATTATCTAATGAGACATGTCTTTCTTTTATATATTTATATATATATATATTTATATATATAAATGTCATTTGCAGACAGTACTGTTTTGCTGTATCACAGCTCGTCAGTGCGACTAGACATCTGAATGCCTCAAGCCAGGAGTGAAACCTGACCAATTTGGTGTCAGTCAGTTTCTATCACTGAGCTATCATCACTTGGCAGAGAGAAACGGCTAACTCTAGCATATTGTTTTTATGAATGTAAACAAAGGCCAATCAGTCAGAGGGCTTCTATTCATTTTACTGAAGAGCTTTGCATTAGCACAGGTGGCTGTTGTTTATAGAATCATCTTATCTCTCAAAAGTGATCAATTGAAATATATTTTTCAAGAGTTGTATATATATATATATATATATATATATATATATATATATATATATATATATTTTATGAGCATAATTATTTCCTTTTTGTCAGGAATCCAAATCTAATAGTGCTGTATTCAAAGCTGAGAAGAAAAGTGGCAACAACCGAAATTTTGATGAAGGAAGAGAAGATAAAAAAGAAAATAGGAAAAAAAAAGGTAAATGTTTTCTTGTTATTTTGTCTGAAAAACTAAGTCTTGTTAATGTAACATTGTTTTTAATCGTTCTAAAAGAAAGTGGAAAGAATTATTAGTAAAATGGTGAGATTTTCATTCATAAGCACATTCTAAGATAAAAGTTTTCAGATTTCTTTCTTTTGTATACATTTACAAAATAGCAATTGCAATATAAGAACTTCTATTGAGTTTCTCTAAAGCATGATGGCAGTTGCTGCTGATTTTCTCTGTGAGTATGTAACTTCCCTAGGCAACTCTCTTGAATTCTATTCAAAACTCTATTGATTCCTGCAAATGCATACTTCATTTTTATACACTTCCATCCAGAATATGATTAATTAGATTCTCAAACAAAGAAGATAACCCAGATGGTTTTACTATGAATCACTTTGCAATTTGGGTCTGGATTTTTACGTTTCCAAAATTTACATCAAAATCAACTTAAGTACAGTGGATAGGTTGCTTAACAAACAAACAGACCCTAAATTTAATGAAACTCCCGCTGAATTTTACTAAATCTTACTTAGTTTAATTTAAGTTGAAACTCTTCTAATGCTTTATAAGTATTTTATGGGTTTGAATTAATATTTTTAAACCGGACTTTTTTCATCAGAATCCATTTCAATTAACCACTCGCCCATATTGTTCTCCTCCTAATATCTTTACAATTTCACTCAGAATTATTAGATCTCTCAGTACCTCAAGTCACTAACCACGCACGAGTAAAGAGATGGCAAACCTTTATAGTTCCTGGGTCATTTTTGGTACTTTTAAATTTTAAATAAATGTGTCACTCTATGGCGCGCAAGGTCAGTCCTGGTCTATGGCAACCAATTATAACCCTTCTTGTCAGTTGATTCTGGATCAATTCTTATGCTGGTTAATACTATTGCTTGCTATTGAAGTTGGTCGTTCTGATCTGTGCCCTGCTCTTCCGCCGTGTTATGTTGTTTGATCACATAGCTGGCAAAGACACAATTGTAGAGCTGGTTCGATCATGTCACAAAGGATAAAAATAAAAAATGTTTTTTGCAGACGAAATAAAGAAAAGACAAGAATTTCTTCAAGGTCTATTTTCTATGTAGTTTATATCATTCTTTGTACTTTGTAATATTAACCCTTTTAATTTTGAATTCTATCATTACACTTTGCTCATTTTAACTAAGTCTAGAATAAGGCTTAAGTTGGGAGTTCTCCTTTTGCAACAAGTTATATATGGTATTTGGCAGCTCCTCCTGCTGTCTGTGTCTCTGCCCGGCAAATCTGGAACTTGTTTCTGGTCAATTCAATGTTCTGCTTATATTGACTATTACCCAAGACTGGCATGGGGACCCAGTGTTTCCACTATCTTCCAACAAATTTGGGAGATCACTTTTCTTATGAGCAGCAATTGTAAGTACTGATCCACCCTGATAACTCCTTTCTCCTATTTGTGCCTCATACCATTACTTTCCAATGGGCATAGGCAATTTTTCCGTCTTTCTTGGTCTTTCACCTACACCTGTCACTTCAGTTGTCATTTTGACAAATCTGGTTTTCAAATTGCATGGGGGTGTGTGGCTTAGCTTCTGGTGATTAATTAGAATTATCATTTTAATTTCTTGTCAGCAAATTTTTCCCAGCCTGGTCTTGTTCATTTGATCAGAAATTTACCAGCTGTTTCCTCCGTATATTGTTAGGGTTATAAATCCCTGGGATGGATCTTTACATAAAGAAATTCTATTTCTCAAGTTGTTTACAAATTCCACTTTTTGATAGGTAGAATAAATCAGTTTTTCAATTCTGTCTTGTCTTTAAAAATTACCAAATATTATTTGTTTAACTGGCTTTCTTTTCCGGATGGTCCTTATGACATGTTTTTGTAACTTCCACTTTAAGGCAGTACCATTAATTGTCAGCCCAGCCTTTTCTAGATGACGTCTGTGGTAATATCCTTTCCCCCAAACTACAAAGTCACTTTCTTCAAGCCATCTCTGCTTAAAAAAAAAAAATAGACTTTCAAATTTAAAAGCAATTTCACTCTTTCTCTCAATTTGTCTATTATTCCATTTTTTAACTCTTTTTATCTTGTTCCACATCATATTTTCATTTCTTCCCATTTTCTTCCCATTTGCCAATAACTCATTTAGTTAACAATATTTTTTTTATTCAAAACTTGTTGCTGCATCTTAGTTACTAATGTTTTAACTTGGGGGCTCATACTTTGTCATCTTCAGCTTAACACTGTAGCACTCACAGCCACACCAACATGATTCCTGGTGGTTGATTCTAATATAGTTCATGGTGAGCCATGTTTTCATGACATTTCCCTGTGGGTTACTTAAAGATTAATAGGAGTGGGTCAGTGGTTCACTATCACTGCACTTGTATGACTCAACCAGGGCCACTGTCTCATTACATTTTCAACTAATAAAGAAATTTCTATAAATATATAAACAAGGCTTTTATAGAAGAAATTCATTAAATTAAAACCAAAACATTTTTATCAGTGAAATGGAAATCACTTAATCATTTTATAAACTGGCCAGCCTGATTCCAAATATTTATCACTTTTTTTTATTTTTTTTTTATTTCAGGTGGAGGTGGCAGCACCAAAAGTGGAGGTGGTAGTCAAGGAAGGGAGATCAAAAGTAGATCAACAAAAAAGAAATATCGTGTCAGTCATGAAGACGATTCAGATGATGAAGCAATGGATGGTGGCAAAGCACAACTTAAAAAATTACATTTCATGGACATTGAAGAAATTGAAGAAGTCATAAGGAAAGAAGAAAAATTAATCGATTCTCCTGATGAATTGGTCACTGAAATTGCTACCCAATTGTACAAGTCAGTCAAAATTTTATTTTTTTGGATCTATCGATTTTTAACTCCTTCACCAAACAATTTTGTCATTTGTTTTCTGACAAGAAAACCAAATATGAAGAGGTACTGAAAAATTCTCAATATGACCAAGAAGGAATTTAAAAAAAAGATGTTTGGTTCAATTTTGGGAAATTGGATGGAAAAACCCAAAACTCTATGTCTACATCAGTGAGACGTAGACACTCTCCTGAATTCTCTTTGATGAGGTGCCAAACAGTTCTTGGTCTAACCAAGGGATTTTGGTCTGAATTTCTGGGATGAAGAGTTATCATTATTTCCATGTGAACTAATATCCTCATCTTGGTTGTTATTATCACAATGTTTTAGCTGTTGTGTAATTATAGCATTGGAAAGGTCACCCTGGATGGACATATTTATACATATCTTTAAAAGTTGAAACATTATTGAAGAAAGGGAAAACTTACTGTCATGGCTTTTGTACAGAAACCATGATTCTTGTGTACCTGTCTAACTGGTTAATGTTATCTTTGTATCAGCTAAGACCTGTGTAAAAAAAATCCTATTCCTTGGGAGGGGTGGAGCAAGATGCACTTGATCTTCAAATGTTTGTTGATAAATAGCAAATGTCTGGTTGGAACAAAATAATAACCATTTGAATTCCAGATTTTTTAAAACATCATAATTTGCCTCAAATACAAACTTTATTTGGATAAAATAAGACACATTAAATTAGACCCAGTTTCACTGAATTTATTCCATCATGATAAAAACTGAGGTTACAAAGTGTGTTCAACCCTATTTTCATGTTGGCATACATCAGTTAATGATGATGATGATGAATATGTTTTAAGGCAGGTATATAAGGTGGTAATCATTAGAGGGGCAGGGGTGGGAGGGTTCTGGTGAACATGGAGGCTGGAGAAAAAACTTCTCTGCCTAAATACGTCAGTTTTTACCAGGTTGTTTTTGAAGCATAAGATTTTTTTTTTTTGTGTTATAGGCCCATTTGTAATCGAAAATGTTTGCAACTTTTGATGAATTGGTCTCAAATGGTTGGTGAGGAGGGGGGAGTGAAGATTTGGTCTTGGGAAGGTTGAGTGGAGGACAAGTTTCCAATTTTCATACAAAAAAAAAAAAACACTTTTCAACAACAGTATGTACATAATCAAGAAAAGGGCCTCTATTTTTTTTTTTTTTTTTTTTTTTTTTTTTTTTTTTAAAGAAATGAGTAAATTGTTGTGGTAAGGGTCAAACCATGAAAACTGCTGATCTCTTTTCTGTGCTTTTGAATTGAGAAATTTTCATTTTTATCCAATATTGATTTATTGGGACTAAAAAGATAAAAGTATTAGGCCAAAAGGTAAAAAATTCCACCACAGATAATGTAAGAATTGAAGAGGCAGACAAATGACATTAGTCTTTAAGACTTCTGGATTCTCTTACAAGTTGCAGGGTATGGTGGATAAAAGTTTGGTTAAATAAATGGAGTTACCTGGTGATCATGTGTTCAGTATCTGTGTCAAATTGTGCAAAAATGTCATACAGGTAAAAGCCTTCACTTATGCAATGTAAAATCAATCAGACCAAAGATATATATGTTTATTACCATTAAACATTATTACAGCAGATATGCATTAAATAATTGCTGAAAACACTGGACTTTTGCAATAGACATAGCAGATCAGTTGCTTTAGTGGCAACTTGCTGTTAGCAAAGAATGAATCATCTTTGACACTTTGATGTTTACATGATTTGCAATCGTCTGTTACATCTTGACAGACATTTAGCCAAAATGGCCGGTTGCAATGGAGGCTGTTTTGAATGAGCTGTTGTTATGCTAACCAATGCAACACAGTTATAGGCTCCCGAAGATGATTGCCTCACTTCAATAAGCACCAGTCCTCTTGCAAAATATCTTCTCATGATAAAAATAATTCAGATCAACAATTAACTATGTACCATGTGGTCTATCACCTGACATTAAATTAAGCAAAGAACATTTATAAAATTAAAATATTTAAAGATATAAAATGACAGTTTATTTTATTCCATTTAAAGTGGAGGATTGCCATCAGACATATTCTCGTTCAATGGCAGTGACAATTGATGTGTCCTGTGGATGAATTAACTGATAGAAGATATCCTTGAACATGGATGGCGGAATGAGAACAACCTGCACCTTTGGATTGAATAAAGGGTTTATCATCAATATCATCAAGCCAAAAGAAGACCCAAAGCCATTTTCATTTTTCATTGGTAAATAGGACAAAATATTGGAAACCAAAATATTGGCAAAAAAAAAAAAGTAGAATTCTATGAAATTTGGCAAAGCATTGTATTTTGATTGATTTCAGTGATCTTGCTTTTAAAATATTTTCTCAAATTTTCAGATACATAAAATACTGTATGTGAAACAATTGTTTTATCTTTCTCATTAATAGGATAATTCTGCAATTTTTTTGTCTCTCAGATTTCAACAATTTAAAATGTTCACATCTTTTGCTCGGTTTCTTATAGGCCTCTTACTCAAGAATATCAAGAAATTGCTAAATCCATCTTTTTTGAAACTTCTGGTTCAGCTACAGGAGCAGGCAGAAAAAAGAATTTCACAGAAGTACAAGACAAAGTGTGTGGACTTTGGTCAAATATGTTACTCATAGAGAAAGGGATCAAGTATTTCCCTGGTGAGATAAAATTAGGATTTCTTTCTTTTTTTTATTTTCCTCTCTGTATGTTTAACAATAAATTGTTATTGTAATTATTTATGAACAAATATTTAGTATCCTAAGGAACAGAGAACAATTCTTTAATTGACCAATTCAAGATTAAAAGATACTTTAATCTTCAACCAATTATAAAGTTTAATTTTGTTGGGGTTTAAAATTGTGCACTTCAACTGTATCACATTTTGCCCCTAGTGAATTTATAAATGACATTTTCCCATTTTTATCATAAACTAGCAGTAGAGCCCGGCATTGCCCGGGGATATAACAGTAAGAGATAGATCAAGTATCGACCATCATAAAGACTGAAAAATAAAATTGACAAAGATTATTATTTAAGGTTGATGGACACGCATGTCTTAATTAGTTTTTTTTTTTTTTTTTACGAATTGGTCAAACCCAAACAAAAACATTGTTTTCAATCGTTATGAGTCTCTACCGATTGAATAGAATTTTGTTATAAACAATTGTCTTGTAAATGGAATTTTTAAAGCATTCTGAATGTAAAAATAAAGAAAAAAAGTGCAAAACAATAAGAAACACTACATGCCAAAAAAAAAAAAAAGTGAAGTTTTGTTGAAATCGGTTGAAAAATGTAGGTAGCCTTTCTGTAATCTTTTTAGTTTTACAATTTATGATTTTTACTTATTGAATACAGTAAAAAAAATTGCATATTTTGCTTGTGGTGATTCATAATTAGAATTTGATTTGAATATATTTTCCACTCGTTGTTTCTAATACAAAAAATATTAACTTTATTTGGGTTTATTAATTATGATCTAACAAATCTTATTCATTTAGTAGCCTTTCTGTAATAATAATCTTTTTATAATTTATGATTTTTACTTATTGAATACAGTAAAAAATTGGACACCATGTGTATTTAAAGTAGTTTACCGTTCGGTTATTATTTTTTAGTTAGGACTTGTGTATGTTTAGATTTCATTATCTTTCCTTAAAGATAAAGAATTTATTCCGATGTTTGTATTCGTACAATCCTTAATTAGTTTTTTTTTTTAGGAATTGGTCAAATCCAAACTCAAACAAATGGAATTTTTAAAGCATTCTGAATGTTAAAAATAAAGAAAAAAGTGTGCAAGAGAATAAGAAACACTACCTGCCAAAAAAAAAAAAAAAAAGTGAAGTTTTGTTTTATCGGCTGAAAAATATAGGAAATCCACTCCCATATTTAAAGGAACCCACACGCACAAACAACCCGATGTGAGTTGTCCCCCTTCCATTTTCACGATGTCTCTTTTTTTCAAATTGATTTTGTGCAAAAACAATTATATTTTTCCCATTTTTGGTGCTGTTAGAACCACCACAAGGTAATTTTATGTAGTCCTGTGAAGTTTTGTTGAAATCGGTTGAAAAATGTAGGAAATCCGATCCAATATATAAACGTTACAGACACACACACACACACACACAATCTGCATTTTATAATAAGTAAGATTCTATGCTAACAGTTTCTTCTATCGCACTTCTCTCTTGTGAAACTCTCTTCCAGATTCTTGCTTCCCAGTCAAATTTGATGCTCAAAAATATAAATGCAATGTCAATCATTATCTTCGGTCATCTTAATTTCTGTTCTTTTATTGTTCTTTCTCCTTAATAGTGTTTTTTTTCCTTATGTTCTCTCACAATCCGTAACCCCTTGTGTCTTAGTGGCTCTATTGCCTTGCATGGGGGTGAAATGATTCCAAAAAGAAAGATATTTTCTCATTACTTTGGAAATGACATTTTCTCAAGAACAAGATGAAGACACCATTGAGAAGGAAAAAAAGTCACTCTAGAAAAAATGTAGAGTGGGAGGTATGTCTGCCATGCCCTATACAAAGATTTTTTTTTCTTTTTTTCTCATGAAATAGTTTTTCAACCAATTGGAAATGAGTTTGATGAATTGAACATGAAGTTTAAGTTAAAAATAAATCCAATTTTGATGTTGCATAATGACATTTAATGTGAATTCCTAGGAAACAGAAGTTTAATGAATTTTAAATTCAGTGCAGGGTTTGCTAAGATGAGTGAAATTTTGAGTTGCTTTCTTATATATCCATTACACACCCACCCATTGTTGATGAGGTTGTTTACATCTGAAAATGTCATAATTCTTTCTTTTTTTTTTTTTTCTCCATTTACTAATTCTGCTTTTCAAACTTAAACTAAATTTGATCTTTTGTTGCCATCATCAATGCTTCATTACAAAAAATAAGTTTTATGTATTTTTGAACTGCTTTTTTTTATAAATATTTCATTTAAAGTAAAAAGACCTGAAACTGAATTTTCTATGAAAAATGTCAGAATCATTCTAAGGTTTGGTCACTAAAATTTTAAATTTCTCATCATTCCCTTTGTCAATTGTGTGTTTTGAGATGGAATCCTCATATTTATTGGTTCAAATAGATTAATTTCTTCATTTTTATTTCGTTCCTTGTTACTTCCCTCATTTCCATATTTAAGATTAGACTTGACTAAATTCCTCACACATATTTGTCTTAGAATCAGTTCTTGGATGAATATTTGGCAAATTTAAATAGATTTCCATTTAGAATCTGAATGACAGAAGAGTCACGGTGGCTGGAATAAAAAGACAACTATACATAAATTGTTTCTGTATTCATTTTATTTTCAAAATAAGGAAAAAAAAATGTTTAATGTTTGAAATATCTCACTTCACATTCCTCAATTGTTTCTCATGAACCAATTTGTTTTTTAGGATCAGAAAAAAAACAAATTCTTTGGACAATGTTTAAAGAAAAAATAAAACTTTTTCATACTCTGCAGAACGAATTTTTCTCCATTAAACCTGAACAAAGACAGACTTGTTATTCTGTTTGCTTGATTAACTCCAGTTTGCATTCAAAACCATTTTTTTCAGAGGCAACCCAGACTCAATTGGTAAAGCATCTATTGAAGACAATTTGTACTGACATCACAAATCTTATTGTTACCACTGTAGCAAATGAACACATGTTATCCATTCCTGATGAAATCCAGTTGACACCAGAGGTAAGTCACCTTTTTTTTATGACAACTCTTCCTCTTATTATTGACTTTCTAATCTTGGCTTGAATTTTTAAGCTTTACCTGAAGTTTACAATAAGTTTTTCTTTCTGCTGCTAGAATTCCTTTGTCCTCAATGAATCATATTTGAAAGAAAAAATTTTTTGCTAAAATGTTAAACTGTAAAATAAGTTGAGTTTATAATTTGAAAACTCATCCAACAATTTAAGTCTCTTTACCTTTCATATTGGATAAATTGATCTCCAAATTAAAGTGAAGATTATGCATAAATTAAAAACGTGTACCACAATTCAGTTATGTTGATTGTTTTTTTTTGTTTCACTTCAATTCTGTGTTATTTATTTCAGACTCGTGCTAATGTCATCCAAAAATTTCCGGAACCTTCACAAAGTCTCCTGAAGAAGTTGAATGCATCACTGAACAAAGTGAGTCACATTGAATAAATGTTTTCTGCAATTTCACATCAAATATTGTCCAAGATGACACGATTATCTTTGACTTTAATTTTATTATCAACAACAATGACCATCCTCCTCCTCCCAAATCTCCAAAAAGAGTAATGCAGGAAACCTGATGCAGTTGGGCAAACTAAAATGGGATCAAAAACATCTGAGTTTGGGTTTTTTGTATGCCTTCCCCAATAAAGGAGAATGTAACTTTTGACAATTTGAATTTTACTTCTTTGAAGGATCTTTGTATTCAAACCAATAAAATGATGCTATCCAAGTCAAGTGAGCTGCCAAAGTAATTTCAAAGGAAACCTTTCAAATTGATAAACCCCCAAATAATCCTGCTTTACCTTTAGAAAATGTCTCTATGAGTGGAAGTATATAAAAAAAAAAAACCTTTGAAGATCCCAAATTTAACAAAGAAATTAATATTGCTATTTAACTTTCAGAAAAATGTCTGAATAATTTTAATTTTTGCCTTGTAGAACCTTGGTGAATTTTCTACCCATCTGAACACTGTCTGCAGTCCAGAGAATTTGGGCATCATGCTGAGAAAACCTGATCGGAAAAAGGAAAAGTAAGACAGCAAAATCTTATTACCCTCACACGTCATGTCACCAGGTGATGTCACCCTGTTTAGCAGTCTGGTCCTCATGACCTTAGCCAACATATTAACAACAGGGCTAACCCTGTAATGGTCCAAGCTGCTTCGATCCACACCCACTCTGCCCATGCTGTGTTTTTGACCACAGAGCAGTTACAGATCGAATGTCAAAGTAATTGTACCATTGGGTTGAACTTTAACAACAGAGGAAATATCTTCACAAACGAAAAAAATAAAAAATCCGAAAGGATCCTTTCATTAATTTCTTTTTTTTTTTTTTTCTCTCTTCCAACAAAAATGAACCTTTCCCACATCAAAATCTCTATAGTGACACTGGGGCTTGCCAGATATTCTGAAAGAGTTGGTGTTCAAGGTTCTCTGTCAGGAGGTTTTAGTGGCAGTTGATGTGGAAGTTTTTTGAGCTCCCAAAATTGTCTGTTTATATTGCATTTTGGCCCTTAGCTGGCATAAGGCCAACGGGTTTTGGGGATTCTCTAATTATCGCATTACTCCCAACAAGGGTCCTTTGTCCCCGATTTCTGCTTTCTTAGCCAACTTTTCAAATTTGGAGAATTATCCACCTTTGTTGAGAGTTGTTACAGAATTGCTCCTTCCTTTATCAACAACTTGCTTCACTTTACATCATGCACCATCATTCTATACAGGTGGTGCCAAGTTCTCCTCCTTTCTCAACATTCAACCTCAGCCTACTTCTCAGGGCAGGTACAACTCTTTGTGACAAATCTAATTTCCAAAATACATGGATGAAAAGGTGGTATTTCGCTATAGTCTTTAATTTTAATTTCTGGTTCTATTTTTCTGGACTTCTCTCCAGTGAGAAAAAATATAAACCAGGGCCACTCATCATTATCCCCCTCCCCCAAACCATCAAACATTCTCCTGCCAATGATATGATTTGTTCTCTTAATTTCTATCTGCTCCAAACATTTGACCCTTAAGAGTCATGTGCTTTCATTTCACCAATACATTATCATTCTAAGGAAGAGATAAAATGATATTAACCCCTTCCCAGCCTCAGTGTCACAATCTATCAAACATTTATTTGCTAAAATACATTCCTGAGCAAATGATTCAAATAATAATTGTTGCTTTTGATACTATTTTTCTGTGACAATTACTTTCCACATTTAAATGACTATTTTCTCTCTCCATTCATTTTCTCTTCTTTGTAGGCAACTTTTAACAGAACACCGTCAAACCTTGATTGTAGAATTGTCCAGTGAAAGTGACCCAGCAGCTGCCCTCCACTTGGCTTCAATGATTCTTTTTCAAACCTTTACCAATTCCTTTGTCCATGCACCTGGACGATGTGTGCCCAAAATTATTGACTTCCTTGCTGAGCACATGTCGCCTTTGTCTCATGAAGTTCTTCGAATCTTCCAAGGTTAGAAAGTTTCTCTTTTCTTTTTCTGGTCATTCCAAAATTATTATTTTGATATTAAAGTAAAACTTCCCATTTAAAAAAAAAAAAAAAAATGGAGACATATTTAATACTAAGTTACTATTTTGTAGTTCTCTAAATTTTTCCTAGATTAAAAAAACAAAAGAACAAACTTTATTTTATAAAAAGTTATTCATTTTAAACATAACTTTAAAATATAAAGTCTTCCAACATCTTTTTGAATGTCAAATTGGATTTTTGAATTTCTTTGTGGGTGAAAGCCCAGCACTGATGCTTTTGTAAATGCCTGACCGCTTCCTGCTTATTAGAAATCCTCTTCTGTAGTTCCACTCTTTAAGAATACAGGTGAACTGTCTGATCCTTCGAATTGACCGTCTTCTGTCTCTTTTTAGCAAAGTACTAGATGCTCTAATCAACTCAGAATTTCCCTTGGCAATGTCTTTTTTCAGATAAGCAATATGGCTTTTGTTTCCCTAGGTTAACTGCTGATGTATTAACGGTTTTTGCTGGAACAGTTAATTAAGCTTTAACTGTTGCTTTGGATATCATGAAAGCATTTGACGTGCTAATCTTCTTCACAAGTTGAAAGATTATGTGAATCAGATCAAACTGTGAAATGAAAATTGTTCTGAACGGCCACTCTTCTAGACCTTTTTGTATTAATGCAGGTGTCCCCCCAGGGCTCTAGCCTTGACCTACATTATCCCTAATTTCCATCAATGTCATTAGTTCTTGACAACTATTTACTTCTTAACAGTAAGTCTGATTGGCTCGATCTGGTCAAATTGAAGGTTATTTTTAAAACTAGTTGCCAGTCTGTGAAGTGGAGCAAGGAGTGGTTTGTTAATTTTAATGCCTCCCAAATGAAACTGCTCTTGTTTACTAATTTTAAAGAACTTTTTTGTCTTTCATCAGCATGACTGATGCTAACCTCCAAGAGAATGACTCATTGCTAATATTTTCCACTGATGTGAAGTGGAAAGATTACCATGCGAATTTTGAAGCTAATTTCAAAGATACACAAAATATAAAATTAGCATGTGCACTGCTGGCTCTGGTTATGCCGTTGAGCAAACTATATATCCATTTACTCCAGTCAAATTAGCTTCAAAATTAGGTCTACAAAGGTCACATGATATGCAAGTGTGTGTATAATGGTCTATTGAATCAACTGTTAGGTTTGCTGCCAGGAAAGTTGGTTCATTGTGTTGTGCTAAACAATTTTTCTAGCCAGAATCTATTTTACACATGTATTTAGAAATTCTTGACAAAATCCAAAAAACAATTTGCATTACTATCAGTCCTGACCTGGCATCTCAGCTTCAGTCACTTTCCCACCACCACCATGACATAACTTCCTTGTGTCTCTTCTATGAATATTTCTATGCTAATTGTTCTGATGAGTTTTCCTCTTTGGAACCACAACTTATGAACTTAAGTGCAATACTTGATTGGTAGTTAAGTCTCATTTATTTCCAGTTGAAATTTGCTAGATGTAACCATAGTTTCTTCTCTCACACATGGAATTCTGTTCTGGTTTATTTTTTTTTGCTTCCCTGTCAACTTTGACAATCATCTTCTGTCTTCCTGAATCCCACTCTTTTATTGTCCTCTCTCTTTAATGATTTTTCTTGAACTCTTTCGCACAGTCACATCTTAGGGGCTTTATTGCCTTGTTTGGAGTGAAATGATAAAAAATAATTTTAGAAGTAGCCAATTTCATTAACACAAGAACATTTTCTTTAATCCATTACTTCTGTTGTTTGCAGTTGTCAAATTTCAATAAGAAAATTTCCTATTATCCACAGTTAAGAGGTTAACTTTACACCCCCCTCACTTCACTTTTTCATGGCAGTTTTATATAAAGAAAGTACCTTAGCTATAAACAGCTTTATCAGTTGATTTGGAAATGACACAGGCATACTGAATTTTAATGGCAACAAATCAGTGTTAAAAAAAAAATGGATTCAGATTCCAACTTGTGGCTTTCTCCAATGTTAATTTAAATATTCACAAAAATTCAATAATTTTCATAGACATGCCTATAATTTATGTGATGCTCTTCATGTTCACATGATGGATTTCTTTTTTTTTTTTTTGTATCCTTACTATTTGCATGATTATTTCTTTGTTTTGTCAGACCTGGTGATCAAGGATATAAAATTACAAGGAGAGGACAAGGAAGAATCAAGTGATAAGTCTGAATACCAAAGAGCTTTGCAGGAACTTTTACCTAAACTTCAAGAGATTGCTGTTATGACAAAGATAAAAGACAAAGAAAAGTCCCCAGAGTCACCTTAATTCCGATAGTGCCATGAAATCCACTTTCTTTTTTTTTTTTTTGTTTTGCTTCCAGTCTTCCACATCCAGTCGACCAATTACTCTCTCATATATTAGACTCTTAAGTAAAAAATATTAACCACAAATACTATGGTTTTCTAAGAAAAAAGGTCCTTAATAAAAGCCGTACATTTCACTTGGATATTAATGCCTTTACATGTACAAGGGAACTGAAATAAAATGAAATGGTAGGTGAGTCCCATCTTTAGGAACTCTGCCAGCAGATTCTAAGACAATGGAATTTGGATCGATTTATTCTGTCAGAATTCCAACTTCCGAATATTGACATACATAAGCCTCTCAAATTGACTGTAGTCATGCTAGATTCTCTGTGGCCAGGTACTTTTTTTTTTTTTGTCAATTGGTAATTAGTCTAAACTTTCAAAAGGCACTGATTTAATCTACACTAAACTATTTTTGTTTCACATCCATGCACATAGGATTAAAAAGGCAGGCTGAGAAAAGGTAACAAAATTTTTTTTCTTTTTTAGGGATCAGTCATTTGGCCAACAAAGTTTTTGATTCTTGTAAATTGTGTGTGTGTGTGTGCACGTATGATATTTCACTTTACAAATGGATACAGCATATAAAAAAAAGATTACAGTGAAGAAAAAAAAATCTGGCATCTGATTGCACTTATTTCCCCATCTTAAGAATATTTTGAGTTGATTCATATTTTTTGTTGTTTGATTTGACAATTTCATTCTAAATACAGAGTTCCATCCAAAAAAAGGATATTTCTTATTAAAAGAGTAATACTTAAATAAGATTTTGGTAAAATGCCTTTTATGTTACTTTTTTTTTCTTACCCCTTTAAAAGTGATTCTTAATTTTAGCACTCACAATAAAAAAAACAATTTTCTAATTAACAAAAATGTTGGCCAATTATTTTTGTTGTAGTCTTCAAATAAAATCCTTATTTCTCAGTTGTAAAATTATTTCATAAAACAAGTTTATATATGAAAAGATAAAAATATTTTAATTGTTCTTAGAAAATCTGCATTTGCAACAAATTTTCTATTTTGCTTAATTGTAATAAAAACTTAGAGCATCAAAATTTCAAAGATATTTTTTAATAAAATCAATTTTATTTGATATTTTCAGATGAACTTTTTTTTAACCTTGTTAAAAATTACTGTTATTTCTTGTTAAATCTGGTTTTATTTTCTGTCAACCTTAATGGAAGCTGGACACAGACTGGATCAATACAGAATTTATAAAATAAAAAATAAAAAAAAACTATGAAAAGCTGATAAGTGTATTTGTTATATGTATGAAAGTGAAAAAATGACATTTACAAAATTAATAAAGAAACATACAATTCTATTTACTGTGAATTTAATTTAATTTTTTTTTTTTATACAAAATACAGGCATAAATGATGCAGTTCAGATGATCTGCAAAAGTTTAGATTTAATCTAAAATACTTTGTTCTGTTGGACATATTTACTTAATATGGAGGATAATATATTTTTTCTTCTATGAAATACATTGATTAAAATAAAAAACAGGTCTTGAGGCTCTTGAATCATTCACAAAGAGTGGATGTCATGTGGTCAGTTTAGGAACAATCCAATTGATGAAAGCACAACACTGATACAAATCACAAACAATTGGCTGCAGTTGTTACAACATCCTGCTGTTAAAAAAAAAAAAAAAATTCACTTATGAAAAGAAATGTTTTACAAATTCCAGCTGCATTGTATTTATGAATTAAACACCTCGTAGTTAACAACTGAATTTAAAAAAAAAAAAGTTCATGATTTGCTGCTGAATTCAGTGACCTTTTCTTCAAGCAACAGTTGTTTTAAAAAAAAAAAAATTTCTATTATCATCTGTCCCATAATCACTGGAAATATTTCTACAGAAAGATTTTGAGGTTAACCTGCATAAGTAAAAATGAAGCATCCTAGATAAATAATAGGTGTTAGCGTAATATTTAATAAGCTTTATTTTTTAAAAAAAAAGAAAAGAAGGTCTCATGACTTGACTTTTTCGTTTCATTTTTATAGTTGCTTTTATCCCAACTTTACTTGGGCTGTCAGTCATTGGTAATAATCAAACAATGTAGATCACAGATAAGTTCAAACACATATCAATTAAAAGAAAAGGACTAGAGGAAGACGATAACTTGAATAAAACAGTTGACTAAATAGAATTATTCCTAATTCACTAGAATAGTAATGCAATTGAAATATTGTCATAAGGTTGAATATAATTGCTTGCTGAAGGTGGATCAAGCATAATATTGAGAGAGCGTTGTATTTAAATTATTAGTTGTTATTCTTGGAATTCAGTCTTTACCAGTGGAATGTACTTGAGTTTATCAATTTGATTGTGTCAGCTGTTTTATTTAAGTCATTGTCTTCAGTCAAGACTGTGAAACATAGTAAATGGTAATCAAGCCATAATCAATGTGTGCTTGTATATTTGACTTGTACTGTTGGTGAATTGTTGTTTGCTTTTGTTAAAGATCAAGAGACAGAAAAATCAACATTCAGATACAGATTTTCACTGTTAAATACACTTGAAATGATTTGACATCACTGAAATAGAATTTTTTTTTTTTATAATTTTTTGCAAGTGGAGCAGACAAAACTTTTCAGCAACCCCTTAAAAATGTACTATCAGGATTATATGTAATATATGCAAACAAGCTTCAATCTAATTATATAGACATCATTTTTCAAGACTGTAGTGCCTCAAAAATTCATTAACAACATTCAAGGACATCACATTCTGACCAATAATAGATATTTGTATCTAACACACGTACAAAAAAAAAAACAACCCTACGACAAATACTTAACCAGAATCATAAACGAAGTTAAAGGAAATATTCAAGAAAATGACTGGTGGCGTCCTAGATATTCAATAATTAATAAACAACACAGCTCACTCTCCATAATTTGGCAAATGGTTCCAGAGATATTGCTGTAAATGGTCTGCATATGACATTGTCAACATGGTTTACATTTATAATGTTCAAAACATGAAACAACATCATGGAAAATAAAGTTTGTCTTCAAAGCCGTAACATATCAATTCATATTCATGAAAATGATCAATAGGACATTTGGACAATTTTTATACACACTGGGATCAAATGTCAATCTCCTTAAGCAAAACAAAAAGCACACTTAGAATCTTAAAGAGACAGTTGAAATTTCTGGGACATATGAGAAAGGAGAGTCTGGAAAATTGAACACTCACAGGACATCAAATACAAGACAGGAGGAGGCAACAGGCCACCTATATGATGAGGCTTATGTGAATAGATCACAGAACAAGGAGAGATGGCAAATACACATGATAAAGTGCTCCAAAGAATAGGAAGCTGTGGAGAGCCATCGTCATCCATGTCCTGAAGGGATACGGCACATAGAAGACTTGCTTAGCTTAAATGCATACTGATGTGCATTTCTGTAGGGTACTGCAAAGGCAAGTGACCACAGAATGACAGCGTGTTGGCATTTTGTGGTGGTTTTGTTGTGTCCTGCTATGACAACAGCTATAATGACCTTGACTGAAACTTGGTTACTGCATGGATGGGAGGGGGAGGTAATACTCACAAATAATGCAGATTGCTGAGGGGTGAAAAAAAAACAAACTTCAACTGACCCATTTTTAGTGCAACACAAGCTTTCTTATTTTCATCAAATCCATCTTGGCAGTGCTTTTGGCCATCACAAAGCTTTTCAAATGGAACACACGTTTTGTCATCACAAGGCAATTCATGTTTGGAACACTGTAAAATGCAACAAATCAAAATCGTTTACTGATGTCTTTTTATTTTTTGTTTCAATTTTTATGAATCACAATAAATAGAATTATAATAAAAGCCATAATGGTTAAAGATTATAAAAGATCTGTTCATTGATATACTGCTAAATAAAAAAAACAATCCCTGTGGGTTAGTATGCAGTTTTATTTTTTGGGGGTGGGGAGATAATAATGCATATCTTACTAATTAACCCATAGCTGGAGAGAGAAGATTTGGATTCCTACCTTTCCCAAGGGTATTTGCACATGAGTGAATATAACAGGAATTGGAACTCAACTCTGGTTAACAATTCGAAGCCATTATCTATTACACCACCCACACATCAAAGCTTACAGCAACTGTTATTCCCAAGTGGTCACTCTTCTATATACTGAGCAGGCCTGGTGTTGCTTAACTTCAGTGATCATACAGGAACTGGTGCTACAATGTGATGTGGTTGTAAGTCTTATAATCTATATGCAAAAGAACCATAACCAGAAAATAGTTGGGTTCCTCTTTTTGTTTTATGGCAGATCAACTTTTCCCAGGTTATTTAATGCCAAATTTGGTTGTTTTGATAAAAAAAGATACAAGAGTCAAAATGGTATGCAGCATAATGTGTCCACGACATGACCAGTCGAGTGGGCCTTAAATGATGGTATCTGAATCTGAAGTATTTGGTGGTTTTATGGCCAGCAGTAAAGTCTGTGAAATGGGATCTTCAAAGGCAGTCACCAATTTGACGAAAAAAGAATAAAAATAATAAATGAAAACTTTTGGGGGAAAGTAATAACAAACCGGAAGTTGTAAATTTCCGCTTGCTGCCTTGTATAAGTGGAGGCCCCAGTTAGAATGGCAGAGAGAGAGAAGAGCTGTCTGTCCAACGAGTTACTTGGGGGAAGTAAGAAGAGATGAAAGAATCTATGTGTCACCTACATTCTCCCAGAAAGAATACAAAGTCTAACTCAAAACTTGGTTGGCAAATAAATAATCAAATTATTGAAAGCAGGATTTGTTTTTGTTTCTTATGTTAATTTTACCTTTTATTCCCTTGTTAACATACAGTGAACTTTTTCCAAGTTTTTGTGCATACTGACACAGATGAGAAGCAAAACATAAGTAGAAAGTGATTTATGTGGTTGATGAAAGTCTTGGGGAGCTGACACATCCATTTTTATACAAGATTGTAAAAGGGAGCCATATATGTGGTAATCAGGGTCCTCACCATCCTGAATTTTGATAGGGGTCACCCCTTAACGTGAAGATACACCTGGTATATTCTTGACCCCAACTTTGTCAGTTGGGGGTCAAGAATATATAGGTAGACCAGAAAATAAATTTTGATAATTTGAAGAAAAATATTAATAATCAAGAAATAGAAAAGGTGAAGCTCACTTTTTTTTGTTGATGTGAAAAGCTTCTGGTTGTCAAGATAAAATCTGGTTGATCCTCAAAAAAGATAACGTCTTTCAGTTTATCTGAATTTGGCTCTTTTTGATAAGAATTGATTGAAATATCCAGACCACAGGATGATAATGATGTGGAAGTCTCAGCCACAACTAAAAGTTAAAAATAAAAATAGTGTCGTCATGATTTCATTCAAACTGCAACATTTAAAACAATACAAAGTCAGCCAACCATTCTGCATTTTTGCCTGGCTGTGCTGGCCTACTTTGGGGAAAATAGGAAATTGCCAATTACTGGAAACAAATGGTTATAAAGATGCTGATTTCTCATGGGCTCCACCATTTTGGTTTTGATCCAGTACTCTCAAGTTTATGGTTCCTTCTAAAGTTTCCTTATTCTCTTTTCCTCCCAGTAGCCCCCTTGCATCTTTTTTTTATTTATTTTTTAACCAAGATATCCCTAAACAGGGAGAATGAAATGAAAACAATCTACCCCCATAGATTAAATAAGGGCTTCAGTTTGAAATTCCTTAAAGAAGGTCAGACGGCACAATGGTTAAAATATGATAACAACAACAAACATGACTGTAAATAACATTAAAGTCCGCACTTGTTTGCTTATAACTTTTGAGTTGGTAAGAAAATTTGAAAAGATTTTTGTCATTAATAAAAGGATTCGTCAATCTCATCTACATTGCTATTTAAAAGTTTCTGTTCATGTGGAAGAGACATCCTGTTTAACACAAACCCTCCCTGCACTATGTGCAGAGGGCACAGAACTGGTTACGGGAACACTTGGCCAATTTCCATCTACTCAATTGGTGTCCCACATGATGCAAGACATGTTGCAGACCTCACTAAATTCCCTGACGCTGCACCTGACAGACACCAAAGTCCATTCTGGAATGTGCCTCTATAAATAGAATCATGCAATTTGTAGACGATGCCATATAGCAAAGGTACCATTATATAGGAAGATACATACTATTGGGGGCTTTCTAATTTCGAGGGTTCTTCAATTTATAATTCCTAGAACATTTCACTTTCAAAATGAGAATAGCTCTGATCAAAATGAAATAAACAATTTCTTAAAAATTGAACCAGATCAACAAATTTTCAAGCAAGGTGGTAAATGAATCAAGTTTGGTTTGTGTGAAAGGAACAAAACTCAAATGATTTTTCTGAGATTGACTTTTTTTTAACACTATATTATGGATCATTTAATGCCAAAATTTCATTTTCTTGGGAGTTTGAAAGTAATGAAAATCTGATACATGTTATTCTGCTTTCACAATTGAATACATGGTAGATGATACTCAGCTTTTATATGGACAGAATTACGGTGATATGTGTGTTTTATTTTGTAGTTTTGTTGAAGTTATATTTTGGAATACACTTTGATTTCTTTAAGAAATTGTAGGATATCATATGTAGGATTAATGTCATGAACGAGTTCTTTCATGTTGCTTGTTTGATTTTGTTTAGCGACATGTCAACCTCTAGAGGTTATTTAATGCTGAAATCTAAATATTTTGAACCTAATTTTATGGCTTCAACTACCGATAAAATATATTGTTGCTTTCATATAAAATCTATCGTTAATAATTTTTTTCTATAAAAATGTATTTTTATTAGTGATGAGATGATTAATCGGAATCAGAAATATCAGATAACCTAATTTCAGATTCCAAAAACAATTCTTTGGGTTTTTTTTTTTTTTGGTTTAAAACTTAATTTTCCATTCCTGGTGCTAATTATAAAAAGATATAAATATTTATTTATTTTAAACTATCAGTGAAACTAAAATTTATAGATCATATCACCTAAGGTAAGTATGAAGTAAATTTAAAAAATGTGCAAGTTTCTCTCAGTTCTCTAACTTACCATAAAGTTTGCTAGTTTAATGTTTGTTTCTGTTCTGAAATTGAATTGTCACCCCTAAATTTGTTCCATTCATTGAAAAATGCCACATATAAAATTTTAAAGAGATTGCGTAATATTTAGATGTTGCCTTTGCTTGTTAAAACTTAAAAAGGTGTACAAAAAATACACACTTTTTTATTTTATAATTAATAACAAACCATTATTAGTTGAATCTTTAAAAATTCTACACATTAGAAAACTAGAAACATTTTTTATCTAACAGTGGAAAATTTAAATTTTAACCAGAGTTTATTATTTTGAGATTCCAATTATGGCAAGTGTATCCAAGCAGGAAAATGTAGTTTGGAAATTTTTTTTTTAAGATTTCTGATGATAAGCAAAGCAATATTTCAACTGTAGCTAAGCACTCAAGTAATTTACGTAAAGAAATTGTTCTCTTTATTGTTTAAACTCTTAGATATCCTTTTTATTTAAAAAAAAATTGTCTAACATTATTTCATAAACTTTTGTATTCATTTTTCTACTAAATGTTTTATTAATGAATTTACTTTATTTATTAAGTTTCCCAAACCAATTGTAGGGCCTGAAAATAATGAATTTTAATCATTGTAGTTATCACAATCAGGAATTGTATAAAAATCAGAAATTTAGAACAGTATTAAGAATTGTATCGGAATTGGCAAAAATATTGGTATTATCCCCTCACCATATTTTATACTTTCATAGTGTTTTGATTTTGTTTGGTGGTTCATGATTTGTCCATAACTGGGACCCTAACAGGTGCTATTATCCTGGGTCAGGTTCCACACTCCTTAAAACCTCCTTATTGCCAATATAGTTTTATCACCATACCTAGGACTACTTCCCCGAGTCTTGAAGCATCAGTCTTGAAGGGGGTGAATTTCATTTTGGCAGGTTAAATTTGTTACTCTTAGCTCGGCTAGTGATTGTGGCATTTTACCCCAGGTTTTATTTTTTGATCCCTTGCGATATTCTTATTAATTTTTATTCCTCTTCCTTTTTTTTTTTTCATCCCCCCTCTCAACTATTTTCTCTGTATTCTCCTCCCAGTCAGGGAATATTTGACTTGTTTCAGGTGGAAATCCCTGCCCCACCCTGTCCCTCCCCAAAACAGTTGCAACTCTTTTCCTTATGTATGGTTAGGCTGACCCACATACAAAACCTCTCCTTTGTTTATTTTAATTAAACTTTGGCTATTTCTGTCCTCTTACAACAATTAATACCAATATTTTTTTTTTTGTTTACTTACATATTTATAAGTCTATTCATCATTCATCTATGCTTTGAATATTGTTGCCACATGTGGTTTGGTGCTCCTGTTATATATTTAGAGATTCTTGATATAATCCAAAGAAGAATCTGCAATGTTATTGGTCTTGGCCTGGCATCTCAGCTTCAGTTCACTTTCTCACCATAATACGGCTTCCCTGTGCCTTTTCTATAAATACTTTCATGGTAATTGTTCAGATAAGCTCTTTGCTCTATGGTACCTAGACTTTATGAATTTAAGCGCAGTACTAGATTGGCAACAAGGTCTTATCAATTTACAATTGAATTGGCTGTAAGTTCTCTGCTAACAGAGTCTTTTCTCACACTTCTTGCTTGTGAAACTCTCTTCTGGTTCTATATTTTCCAGTCAACTTTGATCTTCAAAAATTCAAATGCAATATAAATTGTTATCTACTGTCTTCTTGATTACTCTTCTATTGTTCTTGCCCCTTAATAATGTTTCTCTTTTTTTTTTTTATTCTTTCAAACTCAATAACACCTTTACTGTTTTCTCTTGGAGTGAAATGATTAAAAAAAAAATTGTTTTTATATTGTTGATTCTGTCCATTTTTTTTAAAAGATTATGTTTTCATTCCATTCTCATTTTGAAAGTGAAATAATATAGACTATTTTTTAATTCCAACAGACACTCCTAGTGGAATATTGGGAGATGCTGTTATGGTTTCAGTAGTAAATGAATTTTCACAGGGCCTGGTTACTAGCCACCTCCAAAGAGAAACTGCCTGACAAGGCTGTGTTCTTTATTTGCTCAGAGTTGAGAGTAGAATTGAGTTCATGGCTTTTGTAAAAGTATCTCTCTGTCAAGTGAATGAAAGTTGTTTGAACTGATTCCATTCACCAGACCTCTGA